CTGGCAGCTCCTGCCCCCCCCTCCTCCTGCCCTGGGGAAGGTACACAGCAACGGCAGCCGGAGTGTTTGAGCTCTGGCTATGCTGCCACTAGTGCTCCTGGGGATTTTGGCTTGGGGACCCTCTTCTTGACACACCTCCCATACATATGTCATATCCTCAAGAGACAGCTTGGGGGTTGCAAAAAGTAAAGACCCATTCTTTTCTCTCATTATTTACCACATGTATTAACATTTCAGAACAAATGCTGTTGTAAAAAACTCCATTTACTGGCAACCCTCAGGAAGCTCCACCACAACCTAGGACAAACAGGACACCAAAATAATGAGGGCTGTCTGAATCCAGAGCTTGTCGCAATGACCTAAATGAGAACACGACTTCTTTCTGAAATTTGGTTTCAGCTGTTATTGGTGGTGGCATCAGTGGCACCAGCGTAGTTTATTTTTTTACCCCAGGAGTTTGGTGGAGATGTACAGATCGACCAGTTCGTGAAAGAAGCAGTCGAAGGAACGTTTGGCTGCTGCTAGTGTAGGAGGCAAAGACTATGAAGCAGAAGAATCCGTCATCCATCCTGCTAACAAGTACATGAAAACCTTTGTCAAGGAACTTGGTAAGTGACTTCTCTCAGGGAGCGCAAGATTCTCTTCCCTCCCTTTAATTTACTACCCTGCTGGGGCATTACTCATAGTTCCAAGTGCCGGCCACATTGCTGGGAATTTACAAAGGAAATAAAACCTCAATGGTGTAAAAGCTGCTCAATAAGAATTATTGCATTCTCTATTTTGGGGGTCTATTTATAATCCTCATGCAGTGAAGGGAGACTTGCCTTTTAAGATTATGCTGTTAGTTCTTGTAGTTTATAGCAGGTATTTCTTTCATATGCAGGGCTCTCTTCTACACAAGCCCAGAAATGCCTGGCAGGCATTTACAAACAGAGAGGAATCTGTATTTGAGAGGAGTAGCAGGTTCTGCTGAGGGGCCTCTGCGGGAGTGGCGGGCTTCTCCTGCCGGAGAGCCCAGCTGGCCCGCCGCCCAGCCGGGGTCCTGGCCCCGGTCGACCTGGCGCCCAACCTCCGCCCCGGAAGTCCGAATGGGGTCGTGCCAAACCGCGTTGCCCAACCCTTCGATCCAGGAGGGTGGACACTTTTGGTGGTTGCCCCCGGTGCCGGATGGCACATCTACAAAACTGCCAGGAAACGTCCGCAGAGATTTTCAGGGTCGCGTTTTTCGGGACCCTAAACGCCCATCTTTGGTTCCAGAAGGGCGGCGAGAGAAACCTCCGGGGCAGAAACGTGCTGCAGCCGGAGGGCAACCCCAAGTTGTGCGCCCCACTGCTATGTCAACCAAGAGCTGAGGCAGGGGCCCGATCCGGCGGGCCAGGCCGGGTGAGAGTTCCAGGAGCCCGGCCACCATTCCGGCTTCGCCCCGGTGACCTCCCTGGAGGTTGGGCAGGCCTGGGGCAGCTCCAAGGGTCCCGGCAGGTCTGCGGGGCCCCGGGGTCGGAGCCCAGCGACCCCAGGGTGGGGCGGCAGGAGCCCGCGCAGCCCTCCGCAGTGCCACGTCAACCCGGAGGTCCAGAGCGGGACCATTCCAGGTTACAAAGTGGTGCTGAGTGTGTGTGTGT